AAAAATCTCCTCGACCATCCCTATGAGCAAAGCATGAAAGATCCATCTGCTTGCATCATTTGAAAAAAAACACACATGCAAACCAATTATTTCCACCCCAATTCCCATTTTATTCATCGCTTGCTTATGGCCTGAATTGCCAAAGACAGTCACATTTCATTGAGAAACCCCACTTTAGTAAAGAAGGCTTATCCAAGTAGCATGGACAGTTATCTTTTAGAGTAAAAGCCCATTAAGGCAGGTTTTGCAATCTTCAGAAAACTCTTGCTATATATACAGGCCCGGCGTTATGTTATAGCAGAGACAGATAGATGCTTATCTCCAGGAGAAAGTCCCATTCCATTCCACCGGATTCACTCTCAATAGATACGCATCAAATTGAATCCCAATTATCCTTATTGCACGGCGCGGTCTTTAAAAAAAAACTGTTTTTATTGGGCAATGCACCCTGCTTTCCGACTGTAATTAAATACCGCAAAATAAATACGTCTTGCATAGGTTATGTCTGGTCTAGAGAGCAGCTCTTGTCGAAGATTAAAGGCTCCACAATGAAGCCCATCTTGGGGTGTGTGTGTGTGTGTGTGTGTGATCACGATGTTTCTGGCATTGAAGGAACCAGGGGAGCGATCTCTCCGGCTATTCCAACGATCCCTGCGTCTCTCGGACTCCCGATCCCTGCCTCTTACACGGGCAAGGCTCAAAAGAGAAGGTTACTTTGGAAACTTTCCCAAAACTTTTAAGGCGAGGGAGAAGTGAATGGGTGGAACATATTTTCTTTCAAAGTGATGTCTGTGGAAGCATTGCTTATAGCAGTTGCTTACAATGCTGGCTGGGGAAATTTTTGGAGTTGAAACCCACGTGTCTTATGGTTGCCAAGGTTGAGAAACTGTCTGACTTACAGAAACAGGGGGAGGTTTGCTAAGCTGCCCTTAGCAAATGGTTCAGTGTTTCTCAACCTTGGCCACTTGAAGACGTCCGGACTTCAACTCCCAGAATTCCCCAGCCAGCATTTGCTGGCTGGGGAATTCTGGGATTTGAAGTCCGGACATCTTCAAGTTGCCAAGGTTGAGAAACACTGCTCTAAGGCAAAGAGTGTTCGAAGTTGGGAAATTTTAAGACTTGTGGACTTCAACTCCCAGAATTCCCCAGCCAGCATTCTAAGCAACTGCTGTAAGCAATGCTTCCAGCATTCGCTGGCTGGGGAATCCTGGGAGTTGAAGTCCGGACGTCTTCAAGTTGCCCAAGGTTGAGAAACACTGCTCTTAAGGCAANAGCTGTCCTGTTGTATGAATATGTAGTGAAGAGGGTGGAGGGTCTTCAACCAGGCATGTGGAAGGTGGCGGATCTGAAATGAAGGCGTTCCAGGTGACAGAGATTGTGGCAACTGCCTTACACCTCCTGCGCAGTGCCCACTTCGCCAACAGAGTCCCAACCCCTGCACTTCCCAGGGCTGCTTCGGGAATCAGGCTCTGACTGAAGCAGCAAAGGCTCAGTGGGCTTGCTGTTCCCAGCAAGCCTTCTGAGACTTTGCTGCTTCAGTCTGGCAAAATCTGAGCCTTTGCTGCTTCAGTCTGTCAATGTGTTTATGAGATGACAGCACGCAGAAGGACTGAAGTGCTGTGTCTTTATCGGGTCTTGCTGTGAGAAAGTCAGGCTTTCAATGCCTATGATTATAGGTAGGAAGACACGGTGTCTCGGGAGTGAAGCCTTCAGTGCCAAGTCCCTCTTCTGCCTCCATGAAAATCATACCCCATCTCACCCCCTCCAGTTAAATATGCATATCGAGATAGGGTTTGTTTTCATTGGATAAAAAACTTGTTCTCAAAATCTGAGTGGAAGTGAGGATCCCCGCTGCCTGGAACCACCTGAAAATGTGAGACACAGAGGCAGCGATGGTCTGTGGCAATCCTCGGAGCCTGGAACAGCTGATTGAGGGCATTCCACCCGCCAATCAGCTGCTCCTGCTGAATCAGGCTGCAATAACTTGCTGAAGCTGACCAGACTGTTTGCTGCAAGGACACTGGTCAAATTAATACTGATGGATGCTGGTAGACAGAAACTTTTTTTCCTGTTTTCCTCCCAAAAAAATTAAGGTGTGTCTTATACTCTGGTGCATCTTATACTCTGAAAAATATGGTAGTTCTACAGAAGAATTATTGAGTCTGCCATTTGTGCTTCTCTAAATGTCTGATTTGGTACAGCAACAAAACAGGACAGGTATTGTTATGTTCTGGGTGAAGAATGTGGGTGAGGCCAGAGTGATTTCTAAGAGCTCTTTATCCAATACTGCCTATGAGGTAACTGTTGCTCTCTAGCTGACAAAGCTCCTTTTATAGGGAAGCTGGTCAGCCCACAACCAATCAGGAGAGAGTATTTTCCCGCTGCAACAGAGGACCAGACTGAGAACTTCAACTGATAACTATATACAATACATATATAGATATATATCCCCAACAAGACAGAGCATTATGGTGATCAAAATAACAATTTAATATATGTAGTCTTTTAGGTAGGCAGGATGGCGATGTGTCCATCCTGATCTACAAGGTTCCATCTCAAGACCAGAAGCTCCAGGCCCTTAACTAGGTGAAGTGGAGGATGCTATTTCAGGTGCAGCTTGCGGTAGCAGCAAGGGGTCAGTAACTGGTGCTTCTATCACCAGAGAAACCGAGTCAGCAAGCATCTATGAATCACCACAGTCCCTTGTTGGTACTGTTGTTTGTGGTGGTTAAGCTGGCGTGTCCTTATCCGGGATTGTCTCTGGCAGAGTCCATTCAGAGGTTTTTTTAAATAATTTTATTTATTTTTTATTTAAAACAAACGCAACATCCTTCTTTATATGCTGTAGAAAGTGTATCAGTTGGTTACAAAAAGACTTTCATGCATCTCTTCCACAGTCAACAAACATAATTCATATTAACTCAAGCATTTTAACTCAAATATTTACAGTATACATGTCACCATCATCATATCTCCATTTTCATTTGACTATAATTGTTTAAGCGTCCTTCATCATAAAATATACCAAAATTTAATACATAACCACATACTGGCCTTTCAATTACTATTTCTAAAATCTTCCACTAATACTAAATCCTTATGTCTTATTCTAGCTAAACATCCATAATATTTAATAACAAAGTTTTCTAAACCTCCTTTCCAAATCACTGTTTAAAATTTACATCCAGTTTCCTTATGTTATATCCATATCTATATATACGTTGTTATTATTATCCCTCCTTTATTTAACTATATCATGTATCATAACATTTTCCCGCTAATAATCAAAACTTTAACTGTATCTAACTTGGGTTTTTTAAATTAACCTTTATATATAATCCAAAGGGATTTCTAATCTTCCTTACATTGGTACCATTCAATATTCATATCCAATTATACTCATCATAACACTACACATTGTATACATTGTATCCATCTTGGAACCGGTGACTTAAAACAGTGCTGACACCAATGGGAGAGGCATCGCAGATGAGAACCAAGGGAAGATTCTTGTTATAATGCACCAGGATGCTGTTTGAAGATAGTAGCTCCTTGGCAGTGGAGAAGGCAGCAGCTTCTTTTCAGCCCCAGGACCAGGGGTGAAATGCTACCAGTTTGGGCCGGTTCACCTGAACCGGTAGTAAAAAATGCTTCTGGTTCACAGAACCAGTAATAAAAAAATACTTTAAAAAGTTTTTTATAAAGCTCTGATGATTGCACGGTACACAGTCAAAAACAGGGTTGAGGGTCCATTTTTACTCCTAGCATGCTTCCCTGAGGCCTGCTAGGCCAAAAAATGGGGGGGTCCGTTTTTGCTCCCAGCAGGCTTCCTGAAACCTGCTAAGCCAAAAACAGGGCGGGGGAGTGCTGCAAAAGAAAGAAGGGGGGGGAGAGAGAGAGAGAGAGAGACAGAGACAGAGACAGAGACAGAGAGACAGAGAGACAGACAGAGGGAAAGAGAAAGAGAGAAAGAAAGAGAGGGAAGGAGGGAGAGAAAAAAGAGTGGAAGGAAGGGCTACAAACCTGGAACTAGATGCAGCTTTAGAGGATAATTCAAGGCTGGAATGTACCTGGAGGTCATCTAGTCCAACCCTGCTCCAGCAGAACATTGTTAAAGTGAGTTTCTATCTTTTGATTCCCCCAGTTACATGACTACATAGTCACATGTCCCCACCAAGCCACGCCCACCAAGCCATGCCCACCAAGCCACCCCCACAGAACCCATAGTAAAAAAAATTAGATTTCACCACTATCCAGGACCAAGACATCATCTTGTCAAGCAAGAGATGGAGAGGTTCAGCTACGGAAGCTTTGTGTGGCAAGGAGATGCTGTAGAAGTTTAGAAGTCCCAAGAATGCCTGGAGTTTGGTCTTGTTCTTGGTAGTGGGAGCTTCCTGGATGTCTTAGACCTTTGCCTGTGTAGGGTGTAACTGAGAGGCATCAATAAGGTAGCTGAGGAACTCTACCTGTGGAACAGCGATTTTGCACTTTTGTTTTTTTAACTTCTGATAAGGTAGCCAAGGAACTCTACCTGTGGAACAGTGATCTTGCACTTCTGTTTTTTAACTTTCTGGAAATGGGTGAGTATCGCTCGAAGACGGTCGAGAAGTTTGGGGTTGTTGGCCGCTGACACTAAGACATCATTGAAATAGGGGATGACACCTGGGATGCCTTGCAGGAGACACCCCATCAGGCTCTGGAAGAGTCCCAGTGCCATGCTCACCCCAAATTGCAGCCGGTGACACCTAAAACATCCTCAATGTGTTATGATTGTCTGAGCCTCAGCTGTGGCATCGTCAACTGGTAGCTGTTGATAGGCTTTGGCAAGGTCCAGTTTAGCAAAAACTTACCCTCNGTTGAGAAACACTGACCTAGTTTGAATATATTGTGTGTAAATTCTGAGCATTGACTTCACTGTTACTCTCTCCGTAGGAGCTGAAGCTGCCCTCTTACAAAGGCCAGTCTCCCCAGCTCAATCTGAGAAGGTATTTTGCAGACTTGATTGCCATTGTGAGCAACCGGTTCCGACTCTGTCCCGCTGCCCGACACCTGGCCGTTTACCTGTTGGACCTCTTCATGGATCGTTACGACATCTCCATTCAACAGCTGCACGTGGTGGCGCTATCCTGCCTGCTTTTAGCCAGTAAGTTCAAAGCAAGAAGCTCAGCAGGTAGAAAGAGCTGAGGTGGCGCAGTGGTTAGGGTGCGGTACTGCAGGCCGCTTCAGCTGACTGTTATCTGCAGTTCGGCGGTTCTAATCTCACCGGCTCAAGGTCGACTCAGCCTTCCATCCTTCCGAGGTGGGTGAAATGAGGAATGGAGGAGAAAGCTAGGGCGCGCTGGGGAGAGAAACTGTAGTGATCGCGAGCTCTCCCCCCTCGTGCCCCATTTTGGGCCTGAAAAGCCGCCTGCACCAAGCTGGAAGCAAAACGGGGGCCAGGGGAGGGGCTCATGCGTGTGGATGGGGGTGCATGCGTGCGTTCATATGCACTTTGGGCATTCAGCACCAAAAATCAGCACTGATTTATAATAACTGAACCTTCTTCAGGGAGGGAAATCTCCTTTCACAACATACGGGACCGTCTACTGTCACATACCTCCCAGCGTCCGATAAGATCGCACAGGGCGGGCCTTCTCCGGGTGCCGTCAACTAGACAGTGTCATTTGGCGGCTCCTCGGGGGAGGGCCTTCTCTGTAGCTGCCCCGGTTTTATGGGACGATCTACCCCCAGAGATACGGACCCTCCCCACTCTCGCGGCCTTCCGAAAGTCTATTAAGACCTGGCTATTCCGGCAGGCCTGGCGCTGTTGACCTCTTGAATGAGGTCCAGCCCCACTACATTAACATACAGGTTTTTTTTAATAAAATTCTTCCTTGTGTTCTTAATGGTCTGTCGCCCCTTTTTATGCCCGTCAGGTAAATTTGAAGATAAGGAAGACAGTGTGCCTAAACTTGAACAGCTGAACAGCTTGGGGTGCATGACCAACATGAGCCTGGTCCTAACCAAGCAGAATTTGCTGCACATGGAGCTGCTCCTGCTAGAAACTTTCCAGTGGAACCTCTGCCTGCCCACAGCGGCTCATTTCATAGACTACTATCTCTCGATCGCCGTTCACGAATCCGACCTGCATGACGGATGGCCGATGGTCTGCTTGGAAAAGACCAAATTGTACATGGCCAAATACGCCGACTACTTCCTGGAAGTATCCCTGCAAGGTGCATTGTTTTTTTTAATGGTTTTATTCAAACTCCCCGTGGTTACTTCGTGACCCGTCAAAACCGCGGTAGACTAAAGCGCGTATGTGACATCATCAGCAGCGCGACAAATATGACCGCGGAGAAAAAAGGGCGCTTTAAAAAGCGCTTTTAAAGCAAG